TGGAATTAGGGTAAGGTTATTTGGCTTATAAATATACTGGTATAAATCTGCCGAGGGTTTTAGAACCCTATTCACGAAACATAGTGGGGAAGAGATACAGAGAGGTCTGAGAGAAAACAGAGGGATGAAAACTAAGGGTTGGCTAAGACTAAGGCTGAATCAAGGAGAGAAGGAAGGAGTGTTGTTCGTGGGTGGAACTAAGGGCAGCAGAGGAGTTAAGAACAGTAAGAATTATAGGAACAGTTTAGGAAGACGACGGTGCAAGGTTTCAAACTGAAACCTAAAGGCAAGTTCTATATCTAACTCTCTTCCTTTGACTCATGTTCTTTACATGCCTATTCAATTCCAGGAGTAAATCAACTTTACATTAATCTGTTATACATGTTGAATTGGATTAAAACAGTAAAATTATTAACGAACTGGTAATTGTTTGATTTTAAGTTTACTTGCGTAAATTCTTGCTTTGATTGGTTTAAACAATGTGTAAGGGATTTAAATAAATTTTGGGATACTCTGGGGCCTAGTTTAGACACCTAGGAACCCTAGCAATAGAGGACAGATGAGCTAGAAGCCGCCGGAGAAGACGAAGTGGATGAAAACAGGAGGAAAGCCGGCTCCCTTATGAAGGGAGGTGGTTTCCCTCTCAAAAAGACGGCTCCCCACACAGGGGATCCGGCTCTACTAGGCAAGGAGGCGGTTCCCCTTGTGGGGGAGCCGGCTTCATTTAAGGGGGAGGCGGCTCCCCTTGTGGGGGGACAGCTCTTCCCCCTTCTGTTGTATTTTCGACGAATTTCTTTTATTCTGGGTTGGTTTTTGACATTCCAGATGTATCAAGAGCTGTAAGTGGGAAGTTAAATGATATCTAAGGTCTTATTAAAGCTTTAGAGAGCATGATAAAGGATAATAAACCACCTCGGGTTTATGGCTTGAACAGTATAAAAATTCTTACATAATTTGGTATACTGTTATTGGATGTGGAGGATTTAAATTGCTTGAACTTATCTTAACAATTTTTTGTGAATAGTTTTGTAGTTTAATTATGTTTCAGTGATATCAAATAAGCATGCTAATTTATATATTTCAATTATGCTTATTAAGAAGTAATTGATGTTTACATATATCATCTGTATTATCAATTATTGGATTCTGTGGAGTAGTATCAAATAAGCATGTTAATTTACATAATTTTATTATGCTTATTTCGGATCAATTGATGCTTACATTTATTATCTGTATTATCAATTGTTGGATTTACGGATTATATGCACCGGTATGGGACGGTGGCATACTAGGGATGGAATAACTCAAAATGCTAAGTCTTACCTACTCTGGAATAAAGGAATGGATTAACTATAAAGTTAAATCCTACTGATATGTCATGTCAAGGCAACGAACAGTTGAGTAGCACTACTTTGGTTTGGATGGATTTTAAATATATAATTATGGTATCTGGATGCATAGCTGGCTATGATGGTTGGAGGTGTACCCTGTTAGGTCTAGGTACTCATGCCCACTTCAAGTGCGTTTTGCATGTTACCTACTAGTCAAGTTGAGACCGGCCTGTAGTCCAGTGAGAGTCCTTAGTGTGGATATATATATATATATACGGATTATAAAGTTACTATTAAGTTGTTTAGGATGTACATGCGTATCGGGTCTCTGTTTGAATTGTAGTAGAGTAGAACTTGCTCGTGGGCCTGACCCACTCTTATTTTTCAGGTGTTCGTCAGTTTCAGGCTTAGAGTTTGTTCGTGCTAAGCAGAGACAATCATTCATTCTTCCGACTACAAAGAATTTCTCTTCATAGTTTAGCTTTGAATTTTATTCTAGTTATTTACTGTTCAGTTTGGGATTATTAGGGGTCCACTAGATAGATTCCCAAGTTGTTTAATTATTGAAGGTTTTAGATTATTGGATTTTAATTATTTAATTTTAAAGATTTATATTTTAGATTTCTTTCAGCTTTATTATTTATTTATTATTATTATGTTGTATTCCGTGTTCATTTATATATTAATTGTTTGGTATCCCACGGATCTGTGCTCGAACTTGATCACCCGTGGCTCTAGAATCGAGGGGTATCATAATTTTAACCGAAGCATTATTGTTTTTTCCCCTCCTCCAAAACTTAAGATCAGTTGAACACTGCTGTAGTTTTTTAGAGATACCTTAGAAAGGAGAACCAACAAATGGAAGCGCCCAAACGTTGTCAACAATTGGCTTGAATTCCACGTCTTTGACCCAAACAAGCATGAAATTGAAATTTGTGCTTGAAGTGAGAAATGGAATCATTCAGACAGAACAAAATGGCATAATGATCCGAACCTTGGATAAAAAGGTGATGCAGCATACAACGAGGAAAGAAGCTAGCCCAAACATTGGTGCAGAGGGCACGGTCCAATCTGGCCATGATAAGCTTACCCGAATCTCTATTATTCCATTATGTGAATGGAAAACCTTTGAACCGAAGATCCATCAAGTTACAGTCTTCGAGAAAAAATTTGAAATCCTTGAGCATCCATCCTTATTTTAAACGGCCCCCTCTTTTTCCGTGTTTGTGAAGAAGAGCATTAAAATCGCCCATCAGTAGCCATTTTGGACCCAGTTGAGCTTGCAAATTATGAATGTAACTTCATTGATAGGCACCCGTTGTTTTAATACATGACCCATAAACACCGGTAAAGTACCAAGGACAATTCCTTTTACCACCAATCACTTTACAGGTTATCTGAAAGTTAGAAAAATTGATGACAGATATTTGTCACTCCGTGGAAAAGAAGAAAGCCAGACCCCCCGATTTACCTATAGACGGCACTTCAAAAACATCATAAGAACCCAACAAAACTTTATCCTTATTCACGCGATCCACCGAGTTTTTTGTTTCAGACAGAAAAATTAAAGGATGGGAATGGAGGTGAAATAACCTCCTCAACTGGGAAACTGTCCGGAAGTTCCCCAAACCTTGACAGTTCCACACCAGAACCCTTATTGAGGGTTGGGGCCATTCGAGGCTGGTTACCACCACCGATTTGGAAGAAGGGAGAAGAGACTGATCAACCGTTTTTGCCACTTTAGAGAACTGAGGCTCATCATCAGGACTGTGTTCAAGAACATCCAATTTTCTCTTGTACATCAATTGTGGAGCTTTTATAGAAAGCAAGAGTATGTTTCAGGTTTGCCGCTTTGTAATACCCCTAGTTTTCAAAAGGATACAATGGGAATTTAAATTTGATTTTATTGCATTTTTATTTCATTGTGTGATTTATGTGCTCATTTGCGTAATTGTTTAATTGTTTCTTTATTTTAAATTAATTGTGTATTTGTTCTTGATTCTAAATTACTTGTTTATTTGTTTTAAAATAATTATTTAATTTTAATAGTGTATTTGTTTTAAAGTAATTGTTTAATTTTAATTATTTAGTTGTCTAAATTAATTGTTTTATTTGGTCTTGTATATAATATAGGACTAGGGTTTTATTTTTTATATAGTATGGACGCAGACTTATATTAGGTTTTAAATTAAACCCGGTAAATATAGAGTTACGTAGATTAGGGTTTGGGACGTCTATATATATTTTTCTTTTAAGTCTGCTAGGGTTGGGAACAATCCTACTCACGTAATATTTATGAGAAGGAAAACAGAGGCTCTAGACTAGTCTTGAGAGAAACATAGAGGGTCTCGGGTGATTTTCTGTGAGGCTAAAGGAGGAAAACTGGAGGAAGAACAGAGGGTTGCTTCTGGATGGAACCAAGAAGCAATAGAGGAAGGGAACTGTGAGCAGAGCAAATGGGAAACAGACTTGGAGAATTTTGAAACTTAGAGACGACGCTTAAGGTTTCAAACTGGAATCGTGAGGCAAGTTTCATTCTCTCTTTCCTGTAAACTTGTGTTCTGTGCATTCTTTTTAGTCTCCAAGGACTAATTCAACTTTTAAAATTAATGGTTGACGCATAACGTATCAGAATCTGTTTATGGTTTAAAACACTGAAATTGGTTCTTGCATAAAACTATGTTGATTAGGGTTTTAAAATTCTATAAATTAATTCGTAAGGAATCCAAGGAGTTTTTAGGATGGTTTAGACTATAATTGAACACTGGAAACTTAAAAACGGAAATTTGATACCAGATTATCAGATTGTAAATTTTGTTGTGTCTAAAAAACTGAAACCTGTTTCTTGCATAAACTATGTTGTGTTTGGTTTCAATTTTTGTCAATTGGTTTACACTTGAATATGAGGGGTTCCTAGGGCTGTTTAGACTCTGATTGAACCATGAAACTTTAAAAAAATTCAGAGTTGAAGGTTAGAGTTCACCAGTAGCAGAGAGGAAGATCAGAGGAGGAGGGAAGAGGCTCTCAGGGAGAGAGTCGGCTCCTTAATGAAGGGAGCCGGCTCCCATGGAGAGAGAGCAGGCTCTCAATGTAGGGGAGCCGGCTCTAGGTGCTTTAGAGACGGCTCCCATGATGGGGGAGCTGCCTCTCTTGAAGGAAAACACTTACGGGTGTTTTCGAGTGACTTTCTGACTTAAGGGGGCGAAAGGAAATTTCTGGAAAATGAAGGGGAGTTCTAAATAATTAGAATTAACCTATAAGCCTCTAAAAATAATTAATATATAATAGTGTAATAATCTTTGGAGGATTCATGAAACATAAACTTTGTATTGGCATGCTGTGGAAGAGAGTTTAATTTGCTAGTTTATGTTAGCGAACTTAAACGGACTGCTAAGGAATTATGTGTGGAATGGTGTATCAATTATATATACAACTTAATAAAGGCTGGAAAGGTTGGTCTAGGATCTGGTTATAGATAGCTTGAGCTTTAAATCCTAAGTCACATGCTGTCAGAAGTTGAAGAGGTGTTACGTGCCGGTTGTGCTTTACCATTTAAATTGGAGTAATATGAAACACCATTAGGGTTTTATTTACGGTGAGGATTGGACTTCTGCGTGTCATAAGATCATGCATAGGTTTAAAGATGGAGGATTAAATAGACGTCATATAATGCAGTTACTAATTTACACGCCGTCAAGGATTAAGGAGAAGTTAGTTACTAACCTTTGTTATAGTAATGAACTAGTATGGAAAAGGATGGTTTGGGAATGCTAGCATAATGTGCTCAGGTTTTACTTCTGACAATCATTATATTGTGCTATGGATGTTAATTGATGAACTATTTCAATTGCTGTTTATCAACTGTATGGATGTGAATAATATAAATTGTTTATCAGTACTTTAACAATTTAAAGGAAGGATTTATGGTTTAATCATATACTGGATGCATGATAGGATCTTAATAATATCTGATTTCTATTATGCTGGTTTCTGGATATGTTTGATATTATAATAAATGTGCATCATTTGTGGATCATTTGCACTATATGTACCGGTATGGGACGGTGACATATCAGGGATGAATTAAATCAAAAAGCTAAGTCCTACTCCTTCATATATACGGAATGGATTAACTAAAATAGTTAACTCCTACATGGATACATGTCCTGTCAACTAAAACAGTTGAACGACATAACGGATGTTTGTTTTATCTCTCTGCGTTTAGGAAGGAATTTATATATATATTTATGGTACCGTGATACGAGCTTGAGTCTCCTGATCACTGTTAGGGTGCGTATATTGCAAAGGTTGAGTAACTAGATATAGCTAATGTTCCCTGGTAGGTCTAGGTACTTGGCCGCTGAAAAGCGTGTTTTATATGTCACCTTCTACCCAGGCTGAACTATGTTATAGGCTAATGAGCATCCTATAGTGTGTATATATATATATATGGACTATTGTAGATATTGCCGAGCTATCAAGGATGTATCTGCGTATCGGGTTTATGTACGGATCGTAATAGATTGGAACTTGCATGTGGGCCTGACCCACTCCTATTTTTTAGGTATTTGTCAGTACCAGGCGTAGAGTTTGTTCGTGTTGATGCAGATACAGACACTCACTCTTCCGGTTACATAAGGTTTCCTTTCTATTTTGGTTTTGGATTTTAACACTGTAAATTTATTCAAGGATTTGGAATCAGGGGTCCACTAGGTGGATTCCCGAGTTGTACAGATTTTAATTATATTAAATTATTATTTAAGGTTTGAGGATTTTCATATTAGTATTCTTTCTGTTTATTATTATTTAAATCTTACTTCAGTTTTGTTCTTGCTTGTTTACATATTGATTGTTTAGTATCCCTCGGATCTGTGCTCGGACTTGATCACCCGTGGCTCTAGAATCGAGGGGTATCACACGCTTCCATGGTTTTGTAGTTGGTTTCACTGGTAAGGGAGGCGAGAGATTAGGACTAAGAAAAACAAGTATTTGTTGTGGGCTAGATAATAGAGGAGGATTTGGGGTAGAACATGTAGGGGGATTATTCGGCCCAATAAGAAAATCAAGGGCGGAGTCTCCCAGATCAAAGGGTTATACTAGACTATGAATTAGTGGGAAAGGAGGGTCTGGGATGGCTAGGAGGAAGTGTCTATGGGGATTAGGTTATGTGAAGTAGGCCCACCAATTGCATTAGAGGGATGAGACGCAGCAAGCCCAAAATTGGCTGAGGACACGTAGTCTTGAGCCCTGAGTAACAGAAGGTATCACATCCATCTCGGAAGTTGCAAGCATGAGTTGATATTTGTAATGTTTTCAGTCTACTAAATTACATTAGGATTAATTTTATTGGTTAGTTGCGCCACACTATATTTTATTTATTATTTATTATTATTATTATTATTATTATTTGCAAATGGACATATTCATTAGCCATCTTTTGTCCAATAAGACAAAAAATAAAAAGAATTCATAGAGATAAAGGCCAAGGTAGATTAAATTAGGGGTAAAAAAAACATGATAGTTAAAGATATTTACTGAAATATTCTATTGTTTTTCTCTATAGACAGTCTTGGGCTTATGGGCCTCGCTAGGAGACCAAATTTGTATAGTTTGTTCTTGGGCTCGACACTGGGCAGGAGTTATTACACACTATAGCTGATGGGTATATTTTGCGATTTCATTTAGAAAATAGGGGTACAATCATCACACTACTTCCCGAACCAGTGTGTATAATCGTCACCACTATTTCTCGAAGCAGTGCGTTCCGTTAACTACTTAACATTCAGTTTCCCACCTTTTTGCTAAGTTAACGAGTCGTCATTTTCCAACTACTCACCCAACAAAAAGTTCCTCTGTGCCACATCATTATCCGTCACTAATAATCCTATCAGAGCCGTAAGTTTTCATGATCTATCCACGTGTACGGTTTAAGATAAAGGGTCGTAACTCTTCTAATACGTTGGGGAAAAGAAAAAAACAAAGTTCATTGTAATTAAATAACCACCAATTCAAAAATTTCCCACCACTATCAATGCTGGCTCATTATCCGCTAGTGGTGCTGCCAGTGGCGGTAATGGCGATGTGGAAGGGAAAAATGTGGAATCAGCTGGTGGTGACCCACGGAGGATTACCCCTCCGAAGAAGAGATTCAGGGAGGGCGCAGGGTCATCCAGCAAATCAAAGCAGAAGAAGGCTGATGATCAGCCACAACAGGGAGTACTCTATAAATGCAGTCTTTGTCCCGCTCTGTTGGACAGAAGTAAAAGCTTATTCGGGCACATTAAAACTCACAAGGACCCGAATTGGCGTGGGGCATATCCGCTGCCTGTCTCTACTCGACAACAAATAGACTCTGACATGGCGAAAGTTATCGAAAGACTACAGGGTTAAATCAGTGAAGACACCAGCCAAAGAAAGAAAGATAGGGATCTAAGTGTGACCAAGACTATGTCGGATTTAAATGCGCTGGCATAGGAAGAAGAAGATGCTGCAGACCAAAGAAGGGATGAAGGGGTACCGACTGTGGTCGAGACTACACCGGATCTAAATGTGTCGGCACCTGAAGACGGAGTAGCCATTGTCTCCACTCACTCTCCAGAGATAATGGATGGAAAAGAATTTGACCTCAATAGGTCACCTTCACCAGACTCCTGAGCGGATCAATGTGCACGTGTTTCTTTACATGACGTTTAATAATAGGGTTGGGTATTTGAAGTAGTATACATGTTGGATTACTTTATTATATATAAACAAATACATTTTACCATAAAGATTGTGTGGCTATGTTTTTTTCCTTCTGTTTTGTATAATATGAAAGACAAAACATTTATGGAGTACTTTTTATGGGATTGGTCGAAACCCTGTTTTTTTTTCTTCTGAAAAGGTAAAACCATATCAACAAAGGAAATAAATAATTAACTAAAAAAAAAAAAAGAAAAGATAAAAGGATCGAAGATATGGGTTATACTGGCAAATAGATGGACAATGCCCAATTTAATTAATTTATTTATTTTTTAATTTTGGACATCTGTTGTAATTCTTTTAGGCCACATCTTCAGGTTGGATGGGTTGGACACAATCATTGATTATTATTATTGAAAATGCTTGTGTCCAACCCAAGTTGGATGAACCTGCTGATATGGCGCCTCAATAGTTACGATATGTGTCCAAAATCAAAAGTTAGGTTTAAGTTGGATATTGTCCAATTATTTAGATTTAACTTATTCATGTGAGGGGTTTTTTTTTTTTTTTTTTTTTTTTTTTTTTTGTAATCGTTCCCACAAACACCATGACAACCGACGGCACAACCACCACAATCGGGGGCGCAATCACCACCATCCCCCACAACCACCACCACCATGTATCCTAGTGAATGAACGATTACCTACACCACCATAATTGGTGGTGCCGCCACCACCACCACCGGCGCCCCTGGATTCCATTATAGTATTAAGCGGGCGGCTAGAGTAAACAGATGTTCCTTCAACTCGTCCTCTGCCTCGACTCCTCCGTTCGCTCTTTCAACTCTGCCATCACTGTCGAAGTTTGCCATCACCAATGACCTCGGCCTCCACACCATATCCTTGATATGAAAAACCAAATATTATCCCTAAACCCCTAATTCACACACACTACACATAGAAACGTATATGTATAAAACAATTAGGGTTTCGGTAGTCGATCCAGAAGCTGGCCGAAGGCAGCAGCAGACTAGAAGAGACTTAAAAGGATTTGTGTTAGTCATCGGGCAGAGTGGTCCAGTCGTCAGTGACGGGGAGGAGGAAGAAGGCGGTGATGTAAAGGAAATAAATAAAATAAAATGAAAAGAAAATAAAAGGAAGAATGGGTTATACCCGCAAATATTAGATGGCTGGGCAATACCTAATTTAAATTTTTTATTTTTTTATTTTGAACACGTGTTACAATTTTATTAGGCCATATCTTCAAGTTGGATAAAGTCATCCAATATGAATTGGACACAAGCATTGTCCTTACTTTAAATATTGTGTTATTAATGATCTCTTTTCTTTTTTATTCCTTTAATTTTTATATATGTACAAAAAGTCTTCATTGTAACAGTGGCACGTATTAGCATTGTATCACCTTCTAATTTAATTAATCATGTTTATTATATGAGCATCTGAGTTTCATCTAATGCCTACTCATATGAAATTACATACGCGTCAAAATTCATATATTGAAAACTCATTCCTCTATATTTTAATAACCATATGCATTTTGTTGCAACTCTATATAAGCCCCCAATAGTGGTCCAAGTTAATTTATTTATCACTAATATAAATTGGCTTAAGTGTGTTGGGAATGCAGTATTATCTAATTGTGTTTCTGCTCCTTATTAATAAAAAAAATTGGTCAGTAAAATAAACGTGGAGATAATATAAATCATATCTATAATTTCTGATTTATTTTATTTTTTTACTCCAGTAAGAGATCCAATGAAGGTTTTTAATATTCTTACAGCATAAACTTAATTATAACGGTATAAACACACGTAATATTCATCAAGAAATTAAAAATAATATCATTAAATCAAAGTACACAACGACATGAATAAAGAAAGGACTTGCATCATCAAACACTACGTACATTGCTCTACATGCGCATGCAGAGCCCAACCAAGAAATTACATTGATGTTGTTTACACCACAACAGATGATAACAACAAAGGAGTACATCTAGACCACCACCCCTATGCATCACACTTTCAAAAGCCTCTATCACCTAGCAAACTCAACCAGTTTGACCCAGAACCAAAGCTCTTCCGCCAGAGAAGGATCCGACACTCTAAATTATACCAGAATACACTTGAAATTGTGGCGATGTGGAAGGGAGAAATGTGGAATCTAATGGCAATTAACGAAAGTTATTGTAAAATGCCTCATTTTGAGTCTCGTACGGGATTCATTTTCACATTTTGTCGAATCGGGTACTCTTAGAATTTCCTTCCAGTCATTTTTCCCAGTTTTAAGATTTTCGGCCCTAGTTAGCGCCGAACTTGTTCGGGACATATCTCTCTGCACGGGACTTAATTTTTGACGTCGTTTCTTCCGTTATTTATTTTTTTTATTTCGATTCTTTTTCGTTCACGGTGTTTTACCCTTTGAGCGCGTCTGTGCAAATTCCACTTTTTCGGACCCGGCGAGGCCCGTTTGGGGCACTTTTAGGGTTTTACTATAAATAGAATGACTTAAAGTAAAAAATCAGATTTTTACCATCTTCTTCCCCTCTTTGGCCAACAGCCATGGCAGAAGGCTGCCACCATTCTTTCTTCTCCTCCACTCTCTTCCTTTGGTTATTTGCTTCGAGCCTTATTGTTTACTGAAGGCCTTGGTGAGGCGCACATTTCCCCTTTATTAGAATCAATTTTTGACCATTTTTCAGTTCGGATTTCGAGTTTGGGTTTGGATTTTCATGGTACCTCAAAGGTCAAAGTTGCTCCCCTCGTTGTCCCCGACATAACTTAAGAGTATCGTCGGATTCAGAACACTTTTCTTTCGGTGGGGATTTAATATTTTCATCTCATATTGAGGTAGGGGATGCTATAGGTTTATATTTTTGATGTATTGCATGCTATTGATGCTTATACAACTCATTTACATGTCTTTATATCAAATCTAAAAACTTTAATTAATTATTTCTTTGTGTAAGATTTAATTCTCCCGGTTGATTATAACTTGGATTAAACTTGTGGCATGTTATTAAATTAGACCTTGATATGTTCATTGACATATATTAAATTGGGAGTATTTGAACAAGTATTGAAACTTTTATTTAATTATTTTTTTGAACGAAAATTTAATTCATATAGTTGTATTTAGTTGGAAATCAACATGTAATGTGATATTAAATTAGGCCCTAGCATACTCTTTAACATAAGTGAAATTGAGAGTATTCGGAGATATTTTAAAATATAATAATAATTAATTAATTTTATTCCGAGTGTACTATTCACTTCATTAGATTTCCGACTTGATATTATTGATGAATATGCCATGTACTTTTATATATATTAAATCGAGAATATTTGATTAGGTTTTGAAATATTTCATTTAATTATTTTCTTATATTAAGATTTAATACTCATGATCGTATCTTGCATGGAATTCACTTATGTTATGCTATTAAATTAAGTCTTGACATATTTAATAACATACTTTAATTTAAGAGCATTTAGATGAGTTTCAAAATTTAGAGATTTTAATTAAGTGAATTAATTAAAAATTTATTCAATGGTTCTATAGACTTGACTAAGTTTCTAACTTGATATTCTTGATTACCTTGACAGTTCTTTCATGTGTATCACATAGAAAATAATCGGATAAGTTTTGAGACTTTTATTTAATTATTTTCCTTGTATGGTATTTAATTCACATGGTTGTATCTTGTATGGAATGAACTTGTAACTGGATATTAAATTAGTCCTTGACATGACCTTTGACATATCTTGTTCGTAGAATATTTAGAGTTGCCTTGTAATCTTAAGAATTTAATCATTTAGTTGATTAAATTCCATTTTATGTTTCCATTGAGTTAATTATGCTTTGATATTGAATTCTTGCCAAATTTATAATTTGGAACTTGTTTTATGATCACATGATAGTATCCTATGAGTTGAAGTTATGATTTGACTTGTCAGTATACATATTTACTTACATGACATTTAATATGTCATTGTAGCTTGAATGCCTAGGGCATAATTTGTGTGACTTCCATGACTCGTTTGTGCATAGTACTTGACTAAGTGCATTATATATATATATATATATATATATATATATATATATATATATATATATATATATATATATTATATCTTGATTTTCACAACTTGTTGATTTTGGGACTTGGAATATCAAACAAGAATTGACATAGCTAGGACTGGTTCTAGTATGGGAGATAGAGAGCTCCCTACAATGAGTACGGTTTTAATCCGGGTGATATCCGAGTATCTACATTGTTTGATTTCTTCCTTAAGTTTCAAATGTCCATTCCTTGAAGACTTAAGAATCTTTTCATGTCATTGATTTCATCCTTAAGTTTCAAGTGTCCATTCCTTAAAGACTTAAGAATTTTTTCGTCTCATTGATTTCATCCTTAAGTTTCAAGTGTCCATTCCTTGAAGACTTAAGAACATTTTCATGTCATTGATTTCATCCTTAAGTTTTAAGTGTCCATTTCTTGAAGACTTAAGAATCTTTTCGTGTCATTGATTTCATCCTTAAGTTTCAAGTGTCCATTCCTTAAAGACTTAAGACCATTTTCATGTCATTGATTTCATCCTTTAAATTTCAAGTGTTGCATTCCTTGATGATTTTGAACCTTTTCGTGTTATATGGAATGATCCTACATAAGTATCTTAACTTAAATTCTAGGTGGCATGAACCGTTTCGGTTATTAACGCATTCTAGGTTACAATTTGACAATTTTGGATACCTATGTTCTATTGCAGTACACTATATGCTCCTATGTTGTTTACTTGCATAAATATTGTGGTTTATGCTCGAAATGCTTTAAAGTAACTTAGGATGATCCCTGAGTCTCATTCTTGACATAGACGTTTGGTGGCATGACCCCTATAAATTGTTTCACCTTAAAATGATAATATTGTAAAATATTAGGTCATGCATGCTCAT